CCTTTACTTTGCTCTGGCTCTTTGCAGAGGGCCTCAATGCTGACTACGTGAAGGGGGAGAACCTGGAAGCCGTTGTGTGTGAAGAACCCCAAGGTGAGGACTTCTCCATCACTGTCCTCTGCTGAAGGCTTTCCAAATTCAGTGGCTCCAGCACTGAATAGAACTGGGTTAGGAAGGCCAAGAAGAATTGGCTTCTGGAATGTCTGCTAATCAAAAAACTTCAGGGGCCCAGGTTTGCCTGTATACTATGACTGGTCAGCTGGCCTCCCTGTTTCTTGAGAATGGGGACACTGGTGCCATAGTGATAACTTCTAGGTTCTTTTGCTGCTCATCTCCAACTATTGAATCATCTGAATGTGATCCTGGTACACCTTACCTCTTTGCCAGCAGACACACATATATCCTGGGCATGCTCATCCAGAGCTGTGGAAGGTTTTGCATCTAGACCTCTAGTCTATTTTTTTAAATTTTTGTATGTTTGTGACAAGGTCTCAGGTAGCCAAAACTGGCCTCAAACCCACTATGTAGCTGGGAGTAGCCTTGAATTCTTGATCTTTGGCTTCTACCTCCTGAGTGCTGGGATTACAGGTGTGGGTTCACATCTGTCTCTAGACCTTTCAATTAGAAAATGACTAAAGACAAGGAGACACGTAGTTAAAAGCTATCTATTTCTATTACCCTCTCTGGGGTCATTGAGCACTTTTGGGGTTCAGTGGCTACCATAAACTAGAGGCTACATATGGTAAGGCCAAATGAGAGGGAGATGGACATTCTTGTGGTCCAAGAATGCTGATGGGAAGGCATGGCTTCATGAGGCAGTGAGATAAGCCTGCTCTCCTTCAGCTGAGCCTGTGGTGGCACAGACAAGGAGAAGAGAAGAGACCAGAGCTACAGGACAGCAGCTATGGAACCTGGGTGCTGAGGAAGGACCTGGCCATACCTGGTCTATAAGGGAGAATGAGATTCCCCAGGTCACTGCTTATAGAAGTTATCTGGTAGTGCAGCACCAAAGGTATGGAAATGGTCCTGGATGCAAATGCAGAGTTGTGGATTATATAGGAGCATTCTGCCACAATTTTAATACTTTAATCAACACTGAGTGAGCACTCAAGGACAGAGTGCTATGATGAATGCTTTAGATCCAGTAATCCAGAAGTTTTGACAGAAGCATGCCCATTTCCTAGATGAGGAAATAGAGGCAGAACTCTTTTGTGCTGCATTACAGGCTTCTGCCTTTATTCTCCCTTGGCCCACCCTGAACTTGGCATCCAAGGCCTGTAACAGTCCCTACAGGGGGCACTGAGCAGGCCTAGGATGTGCTGAATTGTCCATGAAATATGGAACTAAACTTCTAACAGAACTTGGGTAGAGCAGAGGTTGAAACTCTACTAACACATGTCTTCTCTTCATAGTGACATACTCAAAACAAGAAATGCAGTCTGCAGAGCCTCCACCACCTGAGCCGCCCCGGATCTGAGGCCCTGCTCAGTGGCAGGTTCACAGGAAGGGTACCACTGCTTGTGACCCAGCTCCAGATTTCATTTGCTGACCCTTCCCTCAAGTTTCTTCCCATGCCACTGGCTTCTTATTGTGCTGAGTTTTCTGGACAAGCCTTAGGTATTTGTGAGTGTAGTTTCTGTGCCCTGTCCTGCAGAATATGGTGACTGCTCTGCCACAGGTCCTCTGAAGAGACTTGGTGCTGAGACTTGAGACCTGCCTTGAGAAGATTACCAGCATTGGAAGTTGCTGGGCCATAGAGACAGTCTGCTCCAGCCTTAGCATGGGAAAAAGGAGGTAGAACCAAGGTGATGGTAAACAAGAGGATGGTGGAGACAGTGCTGAAGGAAAACATTTCTGCTTAAGCAATCCCTAGGTACTATGAGACTCTTTACCTATATGCTGAAGGGGTTGCTGTGGCACTGACCACTAAGGGCTGTGAGTAGGATGCTCAGCTAGCATCTGGCACATATGAAGCCCCTGCAAGAAGCAAATCAGCTAGCGTCAAGCTTCATCACACACACACACACACACACACACACACACACACACACACACACACACACACACCACGTAACACCTAGGCATTTTTTAAAATTTTATTGTTTTTTCCAACTTCAGGTTTTATATTGCTCAGATTCCAGAGAGCTTGTCCAGGTGGGGGCTCTTCAGTTATTTTAGTGCAAATATGCATCTCACAGTAGTCTCACCCTGAGTTTAAGAATCTGGAGAACAATGTAGGAGCTGTGACTTGCAGGCTTGATTCCCATCAGATTCCATAAGGGTCTCTGGCTGGTCTGGTAACTTCTGCACTGGAAACAAATTTTCTACCATTTGGGGGTAGGTGCTCACCTCTGCCCTGTACATGATCTTATTTGAGTAGCAAGAGCTACAGATCCTGAGAATGAACATGGAAACCAGAAGCATGATTGCTGCTTTATTAGAAGTGGATGGGGAAGAGGGAGGGGTGGGGGAAAAGAAGCTGGCTCAGCTGAGTGGAATGTCCCTGCTGCCTCTGTAGTTATGTAACTGTCCTCCCTGTCTGCTATGATGAAGAGGGCTCTGGACATGTTCACAGTGGTAAATGTAGGAAACTAGCCCAAGGACTAGGGCTTCACCAGGCTGGCCCAGAGCTGCCTGCTACCACCTAGTTTGGGCAAGAGCTGGCTACTTCCTGGATTGTTCCATTGGCTTTTGGCCCTTGGCTCCAGTGAGCTCTGTACTGAACCCTGCAGTTGAAAGCTAAGCTACTGTAATGTGAACTAATAATTTGCCAGGTCAAAATGCATTTCAGAAAGCAGGGTATATCATTGGGAAGGCAAGATCCTACTTAACAAAACTCACAGCTCCTCTGGACAGGATGGCCCCATATATTCCACAGGCTGTAAATTGGCTCCTTCACATCCGCTGAGCTGGGATGAGGCAACGCCTACCTTAAGAAACCACTGAAATCTTTGCTGTCTAATGCATGCCTTGAGTGTGTTTGTTGTTTAAAGACTATTCATGGTGGAGGGCTGGTGGTGTCATGTCTCCAGGCAGCCTGAACACCCATTCCCTGTGTGTTCCTATGGACTATGAGATACCCCTTTTGATTGGCCTTTGGTCCCAGACACACTAGGTCTGTGGATCTGATAGGGAGACTGGAGCACTGGGGAAATGGTACCAAGATGGAAAAAAAAACATGGCCTCAGGAATCCCCCTTTATTCTTCAGGAAGTTAATTAGCAAGGGAGGCATTGCTTGTAAGATGTGTCAGTTTCCAGAACCTCTTAACTTGCTGGTCAGATTGCTATCAACTTCATCAGGATTGTGCCTCACCAAGGACATCGATGGTGGTGCTACCTTCTGGCCAGTGCTGAGCTAGAGGTGGCTTAAGGAAGATTTTTAGTATCTCTGGCCTGTTGACATGTAGCTAAGGTAATCTCATGGGGGTTGTCTACTTTACCTTTATGCTGAGGCCTGTCTGATGGCAAAGCCCTTGAACTCCAAAGCCATGATGTAAAATAAATGCCCTCTTGTGAAACTGTTTTCTCAATAGCACTGGTTCCAGTGAAAAAGAGCGCTACTTTGCTCTCCCTTAGCTACCTCGGTGCCTTCTGCATAAAGCCCTTCTGCATAAAACCCATCACTCAGCCCGCAGGCGCTAGCTAAGTGGCTGGACAGGCCTGGGCGGGCCATCGGCCTCCTGTTCATACAATCTCATCCCAGGGGCCGGGCTCCTCCTTCCCACTGGCATTTTATACTTGCTGGGGCATTGTGGCCTGCAGAAGTTTTGGGACTGGTTTTGTAACTATGTCTCCCCGAAGGCTGAGTTGGCCAACTTGAGCTAGTCCCAGGTGATAGAAGAGAGAAAGCAAATGAAGAAGACCCAATTGCCAAGATTAGATCTGTATCAGTGTGACTTGACAGGAAGAACTTTAAAAAAAGCTTAACATTCTCAAGTGGCTTGATGTAGGGGGCTGCCCACCCTGGTGTGGGACAGGCCCACTATCTCAGCCACTTGGGTTGTGGTTAGTACCAGTTCTCTGAGGAAGATGTGCTGGAGACTGCCAGAATTCCTGTACATTTTTATGTGCTTGTGTCCAAGTGTGAATTGTAAATGGTCTAGTGTTTGCATTAAACAAAATGGAATCCAACAGCTCCTTGTGTTCTGATGCTATCCCTCTTTTCCTGTTGTGATTTGTGATATGGTACTGACTTCATTCCCCTCTCCCCAGCCAAAGGTGTGTCTTGAGCATTTTGCTATTATTCCTCCCACAAAGTGCCCAATCTCAGGGCTTCTGATTGGTGGGCTCACATGGTACAGGAACTGCAGCATGGCATGTTTGACATACTGGAGTGAGGGAGAGGCCCAAGCAGAGCACCCTTGCCACAGCATCAGTTCCTTTGGGAGGATCAGCATTGGCTTTACCATCCAGGTAGCTCTGGAGCATACTGCTCAATCCTGAAAGTGAGTGTGCTTTCTTCCATGGGGACACTATTACAGGTGGCAGCCTGGGAGGTAGTCCAACCCTCCTATGCCTAATATTGGGCTCTCTTGCTAACTCAGCCATGATTCACATGAAAAGGATGAGTAACGTCAGACCATTAAAGAATGGTGACACACAGGAGATGGTGTAATTTCACACTAGGTTTTAGAACCTTGAAAAAGTACAGTCCCATAGAGTGGTCAAGGACCAAAGAGAACACTGCATTTGCGTAAGAAAGACCCACTGCCTCTGGTTATTCCAGGTCTTGTGTCTTCAACATTTCTTCAAGGTTATGAACAAGGGGACTTTCAGATTTGAAAATCAGATCACCTACCTGTTCCAGCCCAAACACTCAAGACTCCCAATAAATTACTGACAACTTAGTAAGTCAATCAAATAGCATTGGGCACTTTACATATATTAACTGTGTCGGGCACACAGTAAGCATTCAACACATGGTACTTGATTAGTACTCATTTTCCTCAGGGGGGAAAAACCTACTAGAATGTTTAATGGAGAGAGACAACAAAAAGACCAAGGAGCAAACATATTATAATTTTAACTGCAGGTTGGAATACAGTGCTTCAGATGAGGCAAATACAATATTGTACTAGTTGTTTAAAAATCTGAACTTTAAAGGTTTTACATTCTAGTACTTAAATAAAACAAACATGAAAGAATTGCTTAGATAAGAAAACTACACTTCAAGTTGTTTTAGAAACAGTTCTGTGCTAGAAACATACAAAGGGAAATACTCTCTTGTGCTTCTTTAACATCCAATGGAAATTTCTAGGGGTGCTGCAGGAACACAGCTGGGAGGACATGGCTTGACCAGGAGCCAGATCCCCATTCCACCAGCCATCTGTACCAGGCTACCTGACCTCACCAAGCAGCAGCCCCCATGGCTTTTCTGGTTCTGGTTTGATGATGTCAAAGCATCATCCAGTCCACCCTATGTTTAATAGTCCTGTTATTGCTAGGGAATTACACAGTATTTCTAGGGGAAATGGGTAAATGTTTCCAGTTTTAAAAGGTATATGAAGGAAAAATATTGCAGTATATGTTATTTTTTTTTGGTATTGACTTTGAGACAGTGTTCCACAATATAGCCCAGCTGGTCTAGAACTCAATATATAGCCAAAGCTGTCCCTGAACTCACAGCAGTCCTATCTCAGGTATGACAGTTTATCCATTTACAAATAAGGTTTTGTATACATGAGGAGAATAAATCAAAAGCTAATATCACTTAAACTATAGGTTAGAAACAAATCCCCCAGATGATAAAAATGGAGACTTGATCTTAGCTTATCAAACTTTGAATAAATGTCTCTGGTTATCTTATGGTTGGATAGTTTTCTATAAGAATCCAAAGGTTCCAAGTTGAAAAAATCATCTATTTTCTATGAATGAAGTTGTAGAAAACTCTTTAAGAATACATTTTGAAAATTTAGCCGGGCGGTGGTGGCGCACGCCTTTAACCCCAGCACTCGGGAGGCAGAGCCAGGCGGATCTCTGTGAGTTCGAGGCCAGCCTGGGCTACCAAGTGAGTTCCAGGAGAGGCGCAAAGCTACACAGAGAAACCCTGTCTCGAAAAACCAAAAAAAAAAAAAAAAAAAGAAAAGAAAATCTAGGTCAACGTGTAAGACTGCATGGCATCCAGTGATTTGACAATGACCAGAAGAAGATGTGATGCATCTGTGATCTGTGCTCAGGGGCTTCTCTCTGCAGCTTCAAACACATCTCCAACTCTGAAGGACCTTGTGACATGCAAAAATGGGCATGGCAGTGGGGATGGGGATGCTGGTACTGTACACAGAGGAGCTGATGGGAAATTCATTCCTAGAAGAACTGATGGAGTAGCAGAGCTCATTTGTTAACTGTGGAGAGAGGCCTAGATAGCCAAGGCTGGCTCGGAGAAAGGAAAATCAAGGAAGAGCATGCTATGCTTTTTGAACCAAAGCTTCAGCACATTGGTTGCTTTAAAGTATAGACAGGCAGCCATGTGAATAAACTGAGAAGAGATTGTGATAAATGAAGATGTGGTGTTCAGGAATCTAACAGGTGAAAGACTTGCTCTGACACCAGTGCTGGACATCTTAACAAGTGGTAGGATGCAAGGTCCAATGCCCAGAGTAATTCCCAAGACTTGATCCTTTAGAGAGCTGACATAGAGGGAGGCCAACACACACACAGAATTACTGCTTGAGTCCTCAGTTTACCTGCAACAAGGCCAGAGGACTGAGCATTCAGTTTGCTATATCCTGAGGGAACCTGCTGCTACCTTTATCAAGGAATGAATGGGTTGTACCACTTCAAAAGGCAAGTACCAGAATTAGAGGACAATATTACATTGCCACTGAGATGACACATCTGAAATCATAATTCAAATGTACCACATGAAAGTCAGCATGAACTCTGTTGGGCAAGAATTTCTCATACATCACAGTTCAGCAGATGACTCCTGAGACAACTATTCTAACATAAAAAAGGACATAGGAAAATAAAGGTATGTTTCTCTTTAAAAAATACCTTGTATGTACACAGCAGTACATATTGTACCAATTGTACAGGAGGACTTCTTTCATGAAGATAACTGTAGAACAGGTGGCAGTGGTCCATTTGCCACACTAACATTTCATTTAAAGTTTTCAAATTGTGCCAAAAGGCTGAGAGCAGTGACATGGCTGGTGATGTGTTCCATACATAACAGGTTGTTCCTAACAAAGGACTTAACTTGGAAAGAAGTGGTATGAGATTCTCTTAAGCTGAAATATTGCACTGTATTCAATCTAGTTTCTCCCAAGCTACCTGTATAAGACAAGGTAGTTCACAGGGTGACTGTGACATGTTACTCCTCTGTGAGACTACCCTCAAGAGTGTTACAGGCTGTTCACAAAAAGGAAGTACTTGTTAACAATAGGAGCTGTCAGCTAGCCACACAAATGGTCCCTGGGCCTAATCCTAAGATGACAAGACAGAACCATATAGCATCAATGGCCAGGTCCTTGAGCTGCTGGAAGACAATAGAGCAGTAGGATGGCCCAGGACACTGGCCTTGCCCATCAGACTGAGGTGTGCACAGGAGTGGCTGAGTGGGTAGGTGAAGAGCCCCTCTCAGAAGAAGATGAGATGGTTCGTGTGGCCACCTCCCGCTGCAGGTCCTCTACACGCTTCTGCAGCTCAGCCTTGACAGCCAGCAGCTCCTTGAGATTCTGGTGAATGGGCATCTGGCAGTGAAGAGAGACAAGGCTGTTAGCACACTGTTGTTGGAACATGGTTTGCTCTAAACACAGCATTTTAGTATCTAGGCTCATACCCTAATGGTTCTTTCACCACCCAGATGCCTATGTGTCTAGTCTCCTAGACCACTGACCAATCTTGCACCAAGTGTAAGTGATTGTCTTATAAGGTCAAGGTTTCTATTCCTGTGTGATAATACACAAGAACCAAAAACAACTTGTGGAGGAAAGGGTTTATTTCAGCTTACAACTCTCAGGTCACAGTCACTGAGGAAGCCAGAGCAGGAACTCAAAGCAGGGACCTGGAGGTAGGAGCTGAAGAAGAGGCCATGCAGGAATGCTACTTACTGGCTTGCTCTTCATGGCTTGCCCAGTCTGCTTTCTTATAGAACCCAGGACCGCCAGCCCATGGGTGGCACTGCCCTCCCACATCAATCATCAAGAAAAAACACCATAGGCCAATCTTATGGAGGCATTTTCTCAACTGAGTGTCCCTTTTCCCAGATAACTCTAGTCTGTGTCACACTGACACAATATTAACTAACACAGTGATTCTGTCTCCACAAGTCGGAGCTTTTGATGGCTACCCAGGCTGTCCTGCAGATCCTGGGGACAAGCTAGGCATGAAGAGGCATTGGGGTAGGCAAGCCATCCTCACTCTCTATTCCCTTTGCTCTCAGGAAGGGGCAAACAGGTTCAAGTATAGCCAAGTCAACCAAGGCTACCATGTACAGACTCAGAGACAGGCAGCCTTTGGAGGAGTCACAAATGCAAGTAGCTTCTCCCAAGTTGCTGGACTAAGCTGTGTTCATGAGACCCCAGCTCCATTATCCCTGTACTTGTGCATTTTTATAAATAGCTCCACTGGCTGCAGACACTTCTGTTAAGTCAGCACTTTCTTCAACATAGAGGTCCACATTTTCATCAACCAGAACAGGACCTGGCAGAAAGCCCCTGGAGGGCAATGTCAGAACACAGGGGCTCTAGGGAGGCCAGTCCTTTGCTTCCCATTTAGTACTTTTTCACTGTTTTACCCTGATTATCTTTTCACCTGATGATGGTGGGGGAGCACAACAAAGAGATGAGAAGGTCCTAGTATTTATATTCATCATGCTCAGCTTTCTAAGCTAACAGACATCTTCAGCACCTACTAGGAGCCCAGAGACTGGAGACACAGCTTTTCCCTTATAGACAAAAATGCCCTTATAGATTTCTCAGACCGGGGGTGATAGTGAGCAGCAAATAAGGTCACCATCTGGGGACAAAGGAGGCATGGGAGGGTCTGGAGAGCTCTATTTCCTTTCCCATTCATTGTACACACAGCAGCTATTGGACTTGGTCCTAGGCCTCAGGGACACAATATGGCTTACTACATAACATGCCTCAGTGGCTACTTCCTCAGGGCTAATAGTAATATCTTGAGCTTGGCCTCTAAGTCCCAATCTGCCTCTTAAGCCTACCTCTCACTAGGTCCTGCTTCTACATCCTGAAACACTTGAAAGTACCATCCTGAGTGTTATTGGCAATTATCCCTCTTAAGTGGGATGGGAGAGACCCAGCAAGACTGACAGGAGGAGAAAGAGCAAAGGCAGCCAGGTGGCTCCAAACAACAGAAAGGTTAAAAAAAAAAAAAAACCCTCCATTTTGGCAGACTACAGAAAAAGAAAGAAATGCCATTAGCACATAGCAAAGGCTGGTTCCAGAGCCTATTATGTACTGGGAAAATGCTCCGTTTCTCCCTTAGGATCTCTGTGTTATTTGCCACACCCATGGGACCATTTAGCCCAGTCATTGGTAGTAATACTTTTCAATCACGCCTTCATCAGTAACCCACATGTAACCTTGGGTGCAAAACATACAGGGTCTGAGACCCATGGCTGCTCAGTGAACTGTTATCACCTTATATCTTCATGTAGCTTTTTGTATGTTTTCTCACAGGTCAGCTTCATTTTTAAGTATGTGCTGTGGGATGTTCTGTATGCTGTGAGTGTGTTGCTCTGATTGTTTGATAAATAAAATACTGATTGGCCAGTAGCCAGGCAGGAAGTATAGGCAGGATAAGAAGACGAGGAGAATTCTGGGAAGAGGAGGCTGAGTCAGGAGACTCCAGCCTGCAGTCCAGGGAGCAGCATGTAATGGCACAAGGTAAAGCCACAGAACACGTGGAAACATATAGATTAACAGAAATAGGCTGAGTTTAAGCACAAGGGATAGTCCATAGTAAGCCTGAGATAATAGCCGAGCAGTTAAAATTAATATAAGCCTGTGTGTCTGTATTTGGGACTAAGCAGCTGCAGGTTGTGGGTGGGAGAGATTTGTCCCAACTGCAGGGCCCAGGTGGGACACAAGAAAAGTTTTGGCTACAAATGGTGCCAAAATGTGGGACCTAAAACTTGAAAAAGCTTTTAAAAAAAAAAGATGTGGTGGAATTGTGTTCCCCAAAATACTGTGCACACTAATAAACTAATCTGGGGTCAAAGAACAGAACGGGCACTAGATACAGAGGCTAGAAAATGGTGGCACACACCTTTATTCCTAGCCTTCCAGAGGCAGAAATCCCTCTGGATCTTTGTGAGTTCAAGGCCACACTGGAAACAGCCAGGCATGGTGACACACGCCTTTAATCCCAAGAAATGAGCCTTTAATCCCAGGGAGTGATGGCAGAAAGCAGAAAGGTATATAAGGCGTGAGGACCAGAAACTAGAAGCTTTTGGCTGGTTAAGTTTTTAGGCTTTAGAGCAGTGGTTCAGCTGAGATTCATTCTGGATGAGGACTCAGAAGCTTCCAGTCTGAGGAAACAGGATCAGCTGAGGAACTGGCAAGGTGAGGTGGCTGTGGCTTGTTCTGCTTGTCTGATCTTCCAGCATTCACCCCAATAACTGGCCTCAGGTTTGATTTTATTAACAAGACCTTCTAACATTTCATGCTACAAAAAGATTCTAAAATGGAGCTAAAAACAGATTCCTACTTGTGTCTCTCAGTCAAGCCGTGAGCTACAGTATGGCGGGTTCGCAGCATGTGGGCTTGACCTGTGTACTGCTGTGTACCCATCACAGAACACAGAGGCGTCTCCAAGCCACACAGTATGCTACGTGCTGGATTTAGCTTTTGCTAGTACAGGGAAAAAAAAGGATTCTGGGCTACACACTGCTGGATGGAGGCATGGACCCACTGCCTCCAAGAGTCAGCAGAGAGCATGGCTCTCAGAGTTGGAGGTGAAATTACCTCCGCCATTTTGAAAAGCTGAAATGGGCAGAGTCAGCAGCCAAGGCTGCTGCTTCCATTCTAAAAACACAGTTTAGCAGTTTAAAATCTCTCCTGGTTAGAGAAGGATCATAGATTTACAATAAGTCAGATTAAGATAGAATAAGACTTTAAATGATTTACAATGTTTGTAAAAATGTACGTAGGCTTGGAAGGGAGAGGAAAAGGAATATAAACAGTTATATTAAAAAAATAGAAAGCTTTAAAAAATAAAGTCTTTAAAGAGAACGTAAAAGTAATATAAAACATAAACCATGTAAAGATGGAAATCACACAGAGAGTCTAGATTATACTGTCTTTGGGATTTTTTACTACAGAAAGACATTTGATTGTAAAGGCTGCTCAGTTAAACCAATATGTATATTTTAAAGGTATCTTGACTTCAAAATTTGAATCTAAGTATATGTTGCTTTGGAAAGGAGGTTCTGCTTTTGTTTCCAAAGAAAGAAAGAGGCTATGGATTTGTTCCAGTTTAAGATGGATCAGGTTTGACCAGCCAAGACCCCATGAAAGGTCTCTGATGACACTATGGCCCAGATGATCCAATATCCAGAATGGTTTCAAGGCAACTGGCTCAGACAATGCAGCCTCACAGACTACTCCAGTCAGGACTTGACCATAATTCTTAATTTTCTCAGGATCCCCATAAGAATATCAGCAGGAAGTAGCCTAGAAAATTACATCCACATTCCCAAAAAATGGACTATGGATGTTTGTCTTTGTTTAGGTTGTTGGTTACAAATTATTATTGGTCATAATCAATCTCTTTCTAAAAGAAGAAAGGAGGATATGATATGGAGATATAGGATATAGATCTGATAGGATAAAAGGATGGATTGTTGCACTTACTTTTAAAGAGCAACTTTTTAAAAATGTTTTATATTGGTATAGATTTTAGTTTATTGATACAAATTTTAAGTTAATTTTGTTATACTATATGTATATTTCTACTCTTGTTTAAGGTATTATGTTTATGTAACTCATTTAAATTGTAATGGATAATTAAGAAATACAGATTAATAACTAGTCTTCTATGATAATCAAACTTATTGTCCTGTTAAGTTTTCTAGATATACATAGATATAATTCAATTAGGTAGATAATCTTCAAACACTTCAAAGACCTACAGAATATGGCATTTAAAATGTTTTAAAAACTTAGACTTTCTGGACAGTGAGACACATCTGTTCCTGGCAGCACCAATTTACTTTGGAGAGAAAGGTGGGCATCAAAGACACTCCATATGGAGTTTATTTTCTTCATGACAAAAATAGCCATTTGGGCAAGAAACTGTTCTTACCTAGACTGCTTGACAAAATGTTGTATTGACTGGACATTCAGGACCCATAGGAAGGTGACCACTGAACTTTGCAAGACAAAATGGTCCCTCAGGTTCCTGCTTCACAGAAGAAACTGCCAGATATTCCACAGTACACAGAGAGAAGTGACTGAGAGACTCTAGGCCTGTGGGCTGAAGATGGATATTCCAATGTTACAGAGGAACTTTGGATGACTGTCCAGGCAGACAGCTGTCTCTGTCATTCTAGATGTTTGGAAGTTGCTTACAATGCTCTTCCTGTTTACTTAGGTAATATTATATCGTTCTAGGGTCTTTGATGTAGTTGAAGACTAGATAGTTACAATTATGATTTTCATTGGTTATGATGAAAGATAAATTAGATATGAAACTTTAGACTCACAAATATAGGATAGATAGAATATTT